ACCCCAAGTTGTTGGGGTAAACAATATCCCTGAAGTAAATGCTGGTTTTGAGAGAATGGGGTATCAAGACTGTGCCGGGGCCATCAATGGGACTCATGCCCATAGTTTGCCCTCCTCAAGGAGCACATAAACTGCAGAGGCTACTACATCGTAATGCAGGCCCTTGTGGACTACAGAGGCTGATATATGGATGCCAACATGGCCTGCACTGGAAAAGTTCATGATGCCCAGGGTTTTCCGCTGATTGGGAGTCTGACTTCATGGACAGGTTCGGACATTGTTCTGACCAAATGATATTGTCAAATGGAGTAACGGTCCCCACTGTTATTCTAGGGGAAACCACCTTGCTTTGGCTTATGAAACTATCCTCCTTTCAGAGGCCCTGGCAAAAGAAGGTTTAATTTCACCCTCAGTAGGTGTAGAATGAGTGAGCATTTGGTGGATTGAAATCCCACTGGTGCTGTTTACAGAACTGTTTGTACACCAGTGTAATCAGTGCAGTCTGCATTATTGTGACTTGCTGTGTGCTTCGCAATCTTTGTGAATCCAAAGGATGAGCCAGTTGGCCCTGAATGGACGTATGACAGTAACGGATTGCTGAACCTGTACACTCAGCCAGAAGGTGCACTTATCACAGCTGGAGCAGGATACACACGGTCAACAGAAATCACAGATACTTTATGCACTTGCGTTATGGACTTGCCTGGACCAGTAGAGGAGGGAGAATGGTACGTTTATGAGTATATTTGTACAGTAATTTTACAATAAACGAAGTACTGTCGCTGTATGCTACAAATGGAGTGTGTGTGATTGTCACAAATGGTTAATTGTGGATGAGATAACTGCTTATCCAGTGGGGTGGGGACAGTGGTTTGTGTGACATGAACTGTGGATTTTCATTATTGATTGATCTGAATAGATGTATTAAGAACTTGTATTGGGATACAACTTCCTAGTTGTGCCTTATCATGTCTTCATTCTTTGAAATACACGTTATATGATGTGATGAAATGATGGCAATAAACTTTTATAATAAAATAAAAGCCTTTATTTGTGAACACGTCTATTACAAAAACAAAAAAACCCAACCAAACAATATTAAAGCATTGTCAGGCAGGCCAGCTGCCATTAGAACACCAAAACACCAGTAATAAACCAACACCAAAACCCCTAATAAAATAAAGTGCATAACACAAACATTGAACTGTGAAGCCAATGCAAACAAATAAATTCCCTACTTTTGCATGTCCCTGGGCCTCCCTTTCTAGCACATTTATTGCAAACTTGGTGATGATGCCTGGGGGTGGATGACTGCTGGGGGTATATTTGACTTGTCCAGCTACTAGTGTTCAGTCTTGGTTGCATGGGCCACCCAACTTTTGTATTGTCCAATGTGTTCCTAGTCTGCATGACATGGTACCATGGAGCAGGCTCAGGATGTGGTACAGGTGGAGCAGAAGCCTGAACTCTTGTGGCCATTAGCCCTTGCAGCCTCTCAAACAAGTCTTTCTGCTGCGCTCTGTCTTCCTCCCTCAAGCAATGTTCCTGCTCCCGAAACTGCGCAGCAACTCTCTCCTTGCAATTTACTGCCTGTCTGTGCCTTTCCACTGGCCATGAATTCTTTTCCCTTTGGTAATCTACCTGCTTGTTGGCCCTGTTCAGGATGTCCACCTTAAGTTCATCACAGAAATGCTTTCTCTTTGACCGTTCTGTGACAGTTAGAAATCTAGGCTTCTACTGGAGTGTGGTTAAGCTGCACAGGTGGAAGGTAGTGAAAGCAGCCATCAAACAGCACATTATTGTAGCAGTACTTATAAAAAGGTTCACTGTATTCTCAGAGAAAAGTGCCTGTGGAATCTCAAGGCCAAAAATTGATACTTTGTAAAACTCAGCTTCATTATATTCTTAGAGAAATGATTTGGTTCCCAGAAACTCCATGGACATAACTGAGTTAAGCAGAGTGCAAAGAATATAAGGTGAAATTTTAAAAAATATAGCATTTGTAAAGTGCAGACGATTATAGCCTGGGGCAAGGGTGTGTGCACGATGGTTACTAGCTAAGGTTTCTCAGTCCTTTCAGGCATTCCATATTATAAAGGACATAAGAATCCTGGAGTTCCCTGAATGGCAAAGGGTCATTCTATTCCATGCTACCAGTGGCAAGCCAGCCATGTATTCCACAGAGGTTTTCAAGCTTATGGTAACTGAGCAACACGTTAACAAGTGGAGGAGGGTCTGGAAAATATGCCTCTCCCCGAAATGTGACTACCTATCTGGAGTTCCTACTACAGGAAAAGTTTGCAGCTATCAGCACCCAGGATTCATGGGGGAATGAACAGGATGCTGCGTTAGCATCCACATGGATTACTGCGTCCCTACGGTTTATGATACAGCCTACTGTGACTACACATGCCCACACACACGATAATATGGACTCTCAAAGAACTGCACAGCCAGCTCCTCTCCCTTTAAACTTCTCTGGACTACATACAACCCCCCAGCCCTCTTAGACATGGATTTCATCACTCATGAACTACATTTCCGCCTCCTCCCCGTACAGTTTACAGATTACAGGTGGCCTGTTATGCTGTGGCGTGGCCAATTTGTACTGCACAGCGTACAAAAAAGAAAGGCAATATAAGGTTTTTATTTTTAACACCCCAGCATATCTTTGTAAGAACATACAAGTATCTAGTAAAAATGTAATGTTAACTGCTTAATTGTTGTTTGCACTGCTCAGTCTCCATTTTAATGCCATGTGAATCGAGGGGGCTGATGCCAAAATACTGAGGCGTGCATTTCACCATTAGTGGATACACACTCCTACCCATGGCTTGTAATAAAAATTGTGTTGGCTCATAAATCACAAATCCCTCCCATTTCTGTATTAATAACAACAAACATGGAGCCAAAATATTTACCAGGCACTGGGGTTATTTTTGCCTCTTCTGCTTCTACTTCTACAGCGAGCTGCTCCTCCAGGGGGTCATCAAACGGCTCCTCTGGGTGTGGACATGCTGCAGCTGCTTCGGCAGCAAAGTCTCCTTGGGGACTGGTGTGAGCACCAGAGTCACTTCGCTAGCCTGATCCAGCAGCTGCTGGCTCCTTTCTGGTGGTGTACAAGATTCAGAGGTCAGAAGATTGCCATGGCTGACCAGGCTATTGTGAACTGCTGGGGGCTCAGTGCTCAATGCATCTGATCAAACTCCTCATAAAAGAGGCAGGATGATAGGGAGTTCCCAGAGGTGCAGTTCTCATCCCTGGCTTTCTTGGTAGTTGCTCTTGAACCACTTAATCCACTCCCTGCACTGCTCTGTTGTATCCCCAGTGCTACCAGCTTGTCTGCTATTTCTTAGTACATATAGTCATTTCTGGTACTCTTATTGAAATTGAATGTCTTTTTCTCCTCACACCATAGATATACCAGAATCTGACCATGGTCCTGTGACCAGGTAGCAGTGTGCTTGGCAACAGACTTCTTGTCGGTGGCTATAGCTAACTCAGGAGACAGTTCCCTCTGTTTGCAGCTCAGCAGGCAGAATAAAATGGAAACATTAAATGCCAAGCAGCTGTACATGCACCAGGGAGTTGCTTCTGTTTCCTGGGAGTCAATTGGCTAATCTTGGGATAGAAAGGATAAGAAGGCTGGCCCATAGCATTGTGGGATAGTGTTTACAGACTCTCAGAATGTGAGACTGGGGGATCTGGTCCCAAGCTCTGTTCATGGTGCAAAATGATGCATTGTGGACTCAAGTCCCAGTGTGACTCAGGCTCAGACGCACCCATCTTGCAGGGTCCTAGGGTCTGGGTTCAGAAGGCTTACTGGTCTGAATCAGATAGATTTGTGGGTAGACTGAATGGGGGGTTGGGCTTGAGCCTGAATCTGAGCCCAGGCTTACATTGGAATGTAGACATACCCTTAGAGGTTATCCCTGTGAGACAGGCCGGATCGGCAGGTAGCAATCGATCTATCGGGGATCAATTTATTGCATGTATCCCCGATCGCTCTCCCGTCGACTGCTGAACTCCAGCTCGGCAAGAGGCGGAAGCAAAGTTGGCGGGGGAGCTGCGGCGCGCTGCGAGGACGCGAAGTAAGTAATTTGATCTAAGATACGTCGACTTCAGCTATGCTATTCTCGTAGCTGAAGTTGCATATCTTAGATCGATTCTCTCCTCCCCCCCCCCCCCCCCCAGTGTAGCCCAGGCCCAAGGCACATTGGTGGGGCAGTGTGGGGAAGCTCCTTTCTCTGTGTGTAAACAGATGGCTTTAGTCTGTAAAGCTGCCAGACTATGGATTTTCACCAGAACAGAAGAAAAAGGGGAAAAAAAGCTGAATCCAGAAGCTGTTCTAGGAAAGATTACTGCAGTTCATTAATTTAAATGTTTCTAATACAGTCTGTTTTACTTGTGCTGGTGCCCAGATGCAGAGCATGTTGCATTGAAAAAAATGTCTGCGTTATCCTTTATTTCCCTGTTTGTTCACTTTGAGTCTTGAATGTTTCCGCCCACATTTGTGTGGGTTTCGGAGTGAGGATTGGCCGTCAACTGCCAGCCTGGAATCCCAGAGATAGAAATTAAGATTTATTAAATCCCACCTAGTGCCTCCGCTGGGGACCAGTGCAGGATTATTCCATACAGCCTCGTCTCTCCTGTGCTCCTGCAGTCCGGTCCTGCACTATAGAAGTCAATCAACAGGAGCTTGCACCGACTTCAATTGGAGCAGGAGCCGGCTCTCTGTGTCGTGTGTGGTAAATACAGGGCAACAGCAGTGATTTTTGTAGAGAGCCTCAGCCAGCTGGGGGAGGCATAAGGCGCAGGCGCTCTGGGGCCGAGGGCAGGCAGGCTGATCAGCTGGGAAGCGTGCATGAAGCTAAACAACCCACTGGGAGGAGGGAGGATGAGTCCAACAGGCTGAGAGCTGCAAAGCTGCTGCTTGTGGCGCTCCATATCCGGCTGGAGCAAAGAAAAACAGGATGAAGCTGCTGCGGGTGCTACCTCAATGTTGTCTGCGCCTTGCTGATTAGTCCAGGGGAGCAACAGCACGGAGAGAGCCCCAACACAGCGGCAGCTGAAAAAGCAGAAGCTGCCACAAGGCAGATCCACCCCAGACATGAGCACCCTCTACTTGTGGGATCAGCTGCGAGCCGGCAGCTCCGAGGTAGACTGGTGCGAAGATAACTACACTATCGTGCCCACGATAGCCGAGTTCTACAACACGGTGTGTATCGAGCACATATTTATTTGTGTGTGTTTACATCTGTATGCATGTCCCTGTGTCCTACAGTGCCTGCAGTACACTCGGTGTTCATTTTTATATCTTATGTTTAATACATATATATATATAGAGAGAGAGAGAGAGAGAGAGAGAGAGTGTGTGTGACTAAGAAATTATTTAAATATTGTTGGTACATTTTGTCACTTTCAGTGGCTTTTAAATTAAAAAAAAAATAAGATGCAAATATTTACATTTGTTACTTTTTGTTTGCTAACTTTAATAGGAGCAATATCCAAATATAGCAAAAATACCATCACCTTCTTTTGTATTTCATAGTTTTTTAGCCTTGATTTCAAAGCACTTCCATGGGGAGTTAAAAGGAAATGAGATCTCTTGTTTTTCTAGCCTGGGTGAAATAGCAACAGTCCCTCAGCTTTCCCTTGCCTTTTTGCACACAGGGCTAGAATAAGGTCTTCTTGCATGTGACTGTGTTGATATTGTATTGCATTAGGGCTGTGGTTTTACTATCCAATTGCATGACAAGTTATCAGTTTTCCTGTAGCTTTATTTGGGGATGTGTGGTGCGAAGCGTCTTTTGTGATCTGGTTTCACATGCCTGTTTACTGTTGATTTTTGTTTCACCACCGTATTAGGCTAACATTTTTATTTTAGGGGAACTTTAAAACATTTTTGTTTTAAAATGAAATGGGAAATGTTAAGGTTGATCACAAAATACCATCTACTATATTGATTGGAAAATTTTCTGATCCTAATTCTGTGTATATCTCTCTCTTAAATCAACAATATATAAAAAGGGCCAAATATCAGTCTCATTTATGCTGGATTTACCAGTATAACTTTGACTTAATTGGAGCTACTCCAGATTTCCACCAGCATAACTGAGATCAGAATCAGGCCCAAAGACTAAACAAAATACAAAACAGATTTTTATCTCCACCCACTCCCAATGAAGAGCCATCAGTTATTATAGGTGGAACGCTGCTGCCCTCACCTTCCCATATTCTAATTTTCTGGGACCATCTAATTTGTGTGACGCTCTTTTCTTTCTTTTGGGAGCAACATGCTTGGGGTTTTGGCTAGTAGCCTTTGCACTGGAGTAGAGGTGAACACAGAATGCTGTACATGGAAGAACTAAAAATTGCTGCTGTTGAAAGTTTTGTTTTTTTCCCATTGAGCTGAGTAAATTGCTTTCACAGCTCTGCAATATCAGCTTCTTATGTATCAAATTTAGGGCTGGTCTATAGGTTTATCTGTATTAGAACATTTTAATTTGGTAAATTGCTAGATTTATACTGACCAGTTCAAGCGCATCTCTGTTGGGCTGCTCTGCACCCAGACTTTTGGATTGATTCAATTTCAGTTAGGGGTGTCATTTTTTTTAACTGAAATAATTATACTGTTACAATCCCAAATCTGAATGCAGTTAAACCAGTATAAAGGTGCTATCCACTAGTATAGTTTATTCTCCTATCCCCTTCCTGTATGGGAATAGCTTTATACCAGTATAACTGCATCCACATTTGGGGGGGGGGGGCATTGTATAGCTTCACAGATTTGTATGGAAAGTGTGGTGCACACTGGGTCCTGCAAATTCTGTTCAGGGCTTCCTTCAATTTTAATGGGCAGTCACGCATGGAGGGCTGCAGGATGGTAACCTAAGTTTCTCTGACTCTTTTCTTCCCACTTCACTGTCTTTTGGGGTTTCTCAAACCCATCTTCCTAAAAACTTGCCTAGCTCCTTCCTCTTTGTCTCCTGTTCTTTCTGGCTTTTTTTCCCCTTTCCAGGTTAGCAACCGATTGTAGCGCTGCACAATGTTACAGAAGTACATTTACATACTGAACCCTCTGCTGAGCGAATCAGTGACGACTACATCATCTCAGTCCGTGTCTTTTTTTTCTTGCTGGCTCCACACATTTAAATAAAACAAATCCCACATTTGAGCCCAGCATTGCTGATACTATGGTTTCCCTAGAACCACTATCAAAGGTGATCTGGTTTATGGGTGCCCTATGATATCTGAGCACTTTGGTGAAAGTAGTCTGCTGTATTTTCCCATGTTGTCACTGCACAAGAACATAAAAAACAGGGAGGAAGTTTTTATGAAAGCAACTGTGCCTTGGAGCAGGCTAGAAATGAGATGGGAGAGGGTGGTGATATGCTGAGCAGATTAGCTAAAACATGAATGGTAATACTATAGTATGTAGTCCTGGAAAGTGCAGGATGAATGATCAGATTAGGTCAAGAAAAGACAGCTGTTTACAGATTTATGGTGGAAATCCTGGCCCAACTCAAGTCAATGGGAGTTTTGCCACTGACCTCATTGGAGCCAAGATTTCACTCCATACCTCTAAAATGGCTTGGGATAACATGGCTATGAGCCTGACCCAAAGCCCATTGAAGTCACTGGAAAGACTGCCCTTGTCTTGAATGGGCTTTGGATCAGGCCCTTAAAGTACTATAGCAGAACCTTGCTAATACACATCCAAAAAGGCCAGATATTATTCACTTCTCAGCAAAGTTTTAACAGCACAGTCCTGTAGTCACAGGACGAAGGCCTTATCTAAACACAAATTTTGCAACAGTTACCTAAAGATATTTTAATTTTGTTTAGTTAGACTGGTGCAAACTGTGTGGACACTCCTAAATTGAATGTAAATCAGTGGGTTTTGGGGGGGGGTGTGAGGTGGTTGTTTTGTTTTTAACTGACTTTTGTAAAGCTATGCTCTATCTGCGGCATTGCAGACCTATGTGGAAGTCCTGGGTAACAAGAACTGGTCAATCTTTCTTCATTGTGCCTTTGTTTCCACTCTCGGGTCTTTTGTTGACCAAAATTAGGGAACCAAATGTTTGCAGTGATGGAATTTGGTCCAGTTTGTGATGCAGCTCAAAGCAGAGAACGGTTACATTAGGCCTTTTAATACAGTATATCAGGATCCCCTCTTTTCTATATAGTTTATTTTTATAAAACTGGAAGTGCAATACAGTGGCTTCTAATGATGTATTTTAGACCTCTTCCTGCCAACCATATTTTGTTCTGTAACAGTCCTAGAGGCCAGTCCTAAAAAACCACAGAATCCTTCCTCCCTCTTCTCAATAGCCTGATGATCTAGCTTATTTTATTTTTAGGTAACAGGGGAGGTGGGTTGGTCAGTTTTTTTTAATTGGTTTTTGTTGCATTTTAGCCTTTTCAACATTTTCATTGTAATCTTTTCTTAAATAAAAAAATGATTTTAAAAGTACCAGTGAGCTCGTCTCTATCACATTATCTTCTGAGTCTCAGGCTGAATGCTGTTTCCAAGGGTTCTGCTGGCACAGATTCACTGTGTCTCTAGTAAAGAGTGTGCTATTTTAAACTGAGCAGGAGATTGCTTTTTCTAAATATTTTACTTTAACTAAACCCAAAGGTCAAGGCTTCTGAAGAAAATGTGACCCTCTGAGGGGGCATCTTCAGTTTGATTTAATGCTTCTCGCATACAGTGCTTGCAAATGAATATGCCTAGGGAGCCCCTCCTTTAGTTCCTGTCATTTTGAATGCTGGTTTTATGAACATGTTTTGACCCTTCCTGGGAATGTAAGTGAGGTGATTGAATTTTAATCTCTCTGAATTCTTGTGTAGAGTGAAGACTATACACCTCTACCCCGATATAACGCTGTCCTCAGGAGCCAAAAAATCTTACCGTGTTATAGGTGAAACCGCATTATATCGAACTTGCTTTGATCCACCGGAGTGCACAGCCTCCCTCCTCCCCTGGAGCGCTGCTTTACCGTGTTATATCCGAATTCGTGTTATATTGGGTCGCGTTATATCGAGGTAGAGGTGTATTTGAGGAAGTGAGTAGGGAAAAATATAGTTGAAGGAGCAAACACACCCATTAATGGTCCAATCCTACATGCCTTGTCCACCCCAAACTCTCATTAACTTCAGTGGAAGGTTGAGGGGCACTGGGAATATATGATCAGGCCCTAAAAGGCCAAACTGGCCAGTATAAGTTATGGGTTTCAAAGGCAGCTGCAATTCCCCTTTTTTTCAGGTGGACTCTTATGACCAAACTCTCTCTCCTGCCTGAGTAATTGAGCTAGGCACTGAGAATGTAATAGAGGCAATGATGAGGAATTCTCCCTCCCCTGTCCCTCACCCCAGGGATGAAGCTGTAGGGTAGATGCTCCACAGCTGCCTGTTACAGCCTAAGAGTTGCAGCAGGGTTCCCCAGCCCAAGTGCCTCTGCCTTCCTCTAAGGGAGGACCACATGATCTGTATCCGGGCAGTTCCACAAGTTTTCATGCAAGGCTCCCTCAGTCATTAAGAAGAGAGTGCCACCAGCTAAGATCCTTGTTATTCACCTCTTGTTGTTGTCATTATATACTTTTTGAATTGCAATGACATGAATATTTGATACTGTATTTGTGTAATCACAGAAGTGTTGCTCCTGGGATAGATTTACAAGGTATTTTAAGGAAGGGCTCATCTACATTATACATTGTTCCCAGTCCTGATGGATTTATACTTAACATTTCTCAAAGTAAAGACCTCCACTGCAGAACCTGGGTCAGCTTTGAAAAAATAGGACATATGAGTTTTGGTAAGCTGGGGTTGTCATCTGATCAAGCAACAAATGTGCTTTTCTAGATGGCTTCAAACAGCTTACAAACTTTAAAGGTTTGTTTCATTTTCCCCCTTTATTTGATACATTTTATTTTATATTTTCTTTTCTAGATAAGCAACATCTTGTTTTTTGTTTTACCACCCATATGTATGTGCTTATTTCGTCAATATGCAACCTGCTTCAACAGTGGAATATACTTAATATGGACTCTGCTAGTTGTTGTTGGTAAGTTGATTAGTCTGTGTGTATGCGTGTATGTGTCTGGTCATGCACGAACTGCAAGAGAGAGGAAATTGGGTTCTTTTCCTGCCCGCATATCATGTTGTTGAAAAATAAAGCAACCCTGACGTCTAGTGAGCAGTTTGTTTGAACTTACTTGATACTGAAGCAAATGCAGTTTTACAAAGGAAAATGTACTGTGACAATATAGGTTGGCTGGAACTCTGGCCTGCTTAGCTCTGTTCTGCCCTTCCTTTGCGTAATTGCTCTTGCTACATTTGGCTTGATCCTGAGCAGTGCTGAACATCCACATCCCATTACTTTAGTAGGAGTTGAGGATATTTAGCATCATTTGGGAGGCGTTCTGGAGCCTTTTGTTCGTAACATGCTGATAATTTCTCTCCATAAAAGTGAATGTTTACCAATTTTATGTACAGAAGATCATTAATGTTTCCATTGTCAGCAACAATGGAAGATTTTGAAATACTACATAGATGGGGCAAAGAATTATTGTGCAGGTTGCATGGCTCTGTAAAAGAGCATGGGATTTTCCACCTGTAAATCATGCTAAGGTTTAGCCACCACCTGCTGCCAGCCTTGTTTGACTTACCCCCTCCCAGCCAGTGAGAATCTCTATTTTTAGTTGTTTAGTTTGGAGTGTTTTGTGTGTGGTTTTTTTTTTTTTTTAAATAATACTGTGCCCATTTCATTAATAGTGATACCCTGATGTGCTGTTTCCTTTACGTAAGCTCCATTTTGCTATTTAGAGCTGACATTTGCCCCTTTCATAAATCAGTTGTTTTGCAATAAGTTTTAGCTGCCACCGATTGTGGTGTTGTTTAAGTCTTTCTACCATTTCCAGACTATTAGGTCCATTGTTAAGCAGCACATTTTAGTGCCATACACTACTGTAACTTCATATTGGCTTTTTAATTGATTCATCCAGGAATTGGATCTGTCTATTTCCATGCTACACTCAGTTTCCTGGGTCAGATGCTAGATGAGCTGGCTATTCTTTGGGTCCTGATGTGTGCTCTGGCCATGTGGTTCCCCAGAAGATACCTCCCAAAAGTTTTTCGAAATGACAGGTAATATATATGTATGCAGTGTCGTTGTAGATGTGTCAGTCACAGGATATTAGAGAGACAAGGTGGGTGAATTAGTAACTTTTATTGGACCAACTTCTGTTGGTGAGAGAGACAAGCTTTCCAGCTTACACAGAGTTCTTCGTCAGGTCTGGGAAATGCAGCGGAGTGTCATAGCTAAATACAAAGTGGAACAGATTGTTTAGCGTAAATATTTAACTCATATTTCAAGAGACCATTCAAGGTGAAGTGACCCATTAACACCTCTCCAGTCATGGGAGGGAAGGGGGGAAAAAAGCGCTGAGCGGAGGGCTTAAGTGGGCTACAGATTGTTGTAATAGGCCATAAATCCAGTGTCTCTATTCAGTACATGATTTTTAGTATCTAGCAAAGTTATGAATTTAAGCTTCCAGGCTTATCTTTTGAAGGTGTCATGCAAGTTTCCTTTGAGGATGAGGACAAAGAGGTCAGATATAGAATGATCACTCTCTTTAAAGTGATCACCGACATGTGATAGGGTGTTTTTGTCTTTTATCATTTTTTGTGTGAGTTCATTTGTGTGTGTAATGATTGTCTTGTTTCACCCACATAGTTGTTACTGGGGCATTTAGTGCACTGGATGAAGTGCACCATATGTGATAGGTCCTACACATACCTATAGATCTTGAAAGGTGTGTTGTGGGTTGACAGCAGTGGAGATATGGACTGAGTAGAGACACTGGATTTATGGCTTATTACAACAGTCTATAATCCATTTAACTCCCTCACCCCACCCTGTGACAGAATGTACCCCTGTATTCATACTCTGCACGCTATTGTAATAATCTTGGTACAAAATATGTCTTGTGAGGTATCATTTAAAAACTCATTATTGTCCTGGTAAAACGTGTGGCAATGTGAAGTTATAAGATTCCACTGTATGGTGTTATTAACACATGTTGTCAAACAGGTCTGTCCTAAACAAGGGAATCTGTGCTCTGCTTAACTTGCATTTAAGTAGTAAACAGTCATCATCAAGCAGGAAGGGAAACAAAGAAAGCTCAAACAGGGCAAGAAAAAAAGCAGCAGAGAACATCCTGCTACATAAATTGCCTGTTGCCTTATTTCCAGCTGGAAATGCTTCTCAAAGGGGGGACAGAACTATAAAAAGAAGGGGAAGACACCCCAAAGGACCCCCCCATGCCCATCGATTCACTGCACCTGAAGGGACAAAGGAAGCAGCTACTGCGCTGGGGGAGGGGTCCTGACCTAAGAGGCTTGGTCAGTAAGACTGTTGAAAGGATGTGGTGAGAAAACTTTGCTTTGAATTTAACATAGTTTAAGTTAGGCACCAGTAGCCTTTTATCTTAATTTTTATTGAAACATAAAAAGTCAGAAATGGTTACATTACTTGTACTCAAAATCTATCTTTTTGTAATTAATACATTTGTTTTATCTAATCCATTGTGTTTAACTTGAAGTGTCTGGGAAACTCCATTTGGGAGCGGCAAATTGTATGCATATTATCCCTTTAAAGAAGTAACGGACCTAATATAATTGCATTGTCCAGAGAAGCTGGGCAGTACAGGACATACATTTCTGGGTACAAATCTAAGACTGTGGGTTTATGGGGGTCACCCTGCAGTATTATGAAGGCTGGTGAGAGCCAGAGTGTGGTTGGCAGGCTGTAGTTCTACATAAACACTCGGGGTGTGGCTTGCATGCTGGAAGGCTGTTTGTGAGTGGCCTAGGTGGGAGCTACTTCAGCAAGGCATTGTAAGGCACTCAGTGTTACAGTGTAGGGGTGGTAGAGCTGCTTATTAGTCTTGATCAGGGGTCGGCAACGTTCGGCACGCGGCTCGCCAGGGTAAGCACCCTAGCGGGCCGGGCCAGTTTATTTACCTGCTGACGTGGTAGGTTCGGCCGATCGCGGCCCCCACTCGCCACGGTTCGCCGTCCCGGGCCAATGGGGGCGACGAGAAGTGGCGCGGGCGAGGGATGTGCTGGCCACGGCTTCCCGGAGCCCCCATTGGCCCGGGACGGCGAACCGCGGCCAGTGGGGGCCATGATCGGCCGAACCTGCCTCGTCAGCAGGTAAATAAACTGGCCCGGCCCGCTAGGGTGCTTACCCTGGCGAGCCACGTGCCGAACGTTGCCTACCCCGGTCTAGATTGTATCCTGCTATATCACATCCCCAGTTTTATTTTTCCTTTCCCCCTGTGACTGGAGATGTGTTATCGGGCCATTTTACGATGAATAGTCTCTTGAAATATGTGTTAACTATTTATGCTAAACTATTTGTTCCTCTTTGTATTTCACTGTGACACTCTGAGTACCTTTTTCCAGACCTCAAAAAGAGCTCTGTATAAGCTGGAAAGCTTGTCTCTCTCACCAACAGATGATGGTCCAATAAAAGATATTAACTCAGGTAAAATCTATCTTAAAGAACTCAGGGTGGTTCCCTGATTGTGTCTTGAAGCTCATTGCATTAGCATCTAGACCTGCACGTAACTGCATTGAATAACCACGTAATTTTGCCACTGTCGCTACTGTCCTTCCTCATGCTATTCTTTTCCAGCTGTTTGTTACCTCCAGGCCCACTCATTGCTAATATTAGTGTACTCCATTGCTTCCTGCCTTCCTAGGATCAGCTGTTTTGTTTTTTGTCACAAATCTTATTGGAGGATCATCTTATTTTAAAAACATCTTTGATTTGAACTTTCCACCAGAACACTCCTCAAATTGCTTTCATTATGAAAAGTGCATCTTAAATGACCATATGCCGTTGTCATTCCAATCTCATGACTTTGTCCCAGTTGTGTGAATCTTGTTTACTTCTGCATATTGCAACACAGTGCTTTTATAGGACATGCTGCCTGCTCTTTCACTCCCAAAAGCAAAAATGAAGCAGAGGTTTTGTAGCAGCATTTCATTACGTGGTTGGCAGCATTTCATGCTGTCCAAAAATATATGAACACATAAGAATTATCCAAAAAAATCCTTTAGTCATTGCTTTACATAGCTTAATGTTACATCCAGCAACTGTTCTGTGCATAGACTCAGTATTGCTAACAGGGTTAAACAGCTTCCTTGTTAAACTGTGTTTCTCAGTGCTCTTCTTATTTAAATAAAAAAAAAGGAACAATAGACATTTGGGATGAAATCCTGGATCTATTGAAGTCAATGGCAAAGCTCCCTGCAGTCAGATCTGAGGAGATGACTGATCTACAATGAGTACAAGAATCAGGTCCTGTAACTTTAAAACTCCCGAGAAAAAAATTAATCTGGGATGTGAAATTTCAGGGAGATTAATTTTTTTTTTTTTTTTTACAGAAGTTAAGAGGGGCAAGGGAGAGTTTTGAAAAACAGGCAAATAATGGTCAGTTACCTTCAAATGAAGCTGTTTTGCCTAACTCTGCGCTATAAGAAATGCATCAGGAATGTGACTTCTGAGAGGACTCCAGCTTGGAGGACATATATTTTTTTCCTTCCCATAGATTAGACCCCAGAAACATGATGTTTAAAGTATGTAGCCTGTCAAAGCCAAAATTTAAAGAGAGTTTAAGGTGAATTTAAAATTTGAATTTATCAGGCTGTATACTATACACATTCAGGTCTTGATTCTGCCTTTAATTATACTGGGAGTATTGCCAAACCTGAACTTCAAAAAAACACAAGTCAGGCCCCCCAAAATCATTGGTTTAAGAATTATGACATATAAAAAAAATCTAAAAAATAAAAAAAATCTCTGTATTAGCTTTGTGAGGTTTTGAACCTTTAGATTTCAGGTTTGCAAGCTTTTCTCTGCAACCAGGCAAGCTAGAAACATACTTTATTAAAAAATAAAAGCTGAGATTCTAACATAACATGATTCCAGTAAATAGGGCTTTAAGGAAAATAATAAATTTCATGATACTTGTAAAATAATGAGAATTGGCAACACTGCACTGGTTTTAGACCTCGTAACTCAATTGAATGCAGTGGAATAGCTCACGATTTATACTGGAATAAGAGAGATCAGAATAGGGCCTCAGTTTCAAATATTTATCATCAGTGTATATATAAAACATTAAACTTTCAAGCCTGCACTCTTGTGAAGACTTATGCACGAGACACACAGGTATGCAAAGTTAAAGTCTTTGCCAGATTGGAACCAAAGTAGACATTCTGTACACATCATGTTGTTGTCATAGTGTGTGTCATTTCTTATACCTATTCAAAGAAATAAAATGTTGTTTACAACAATTTTAAACATGTTTAGGATTTTATAGTTGCCTTTTCTTGTTTATCATTAATTTAAGGTTTAATTAAAGGAAAATGTACCCTTTTTCTTTAATTATTCAGGGCAAGGTTTAAAGCTGCAGTCGGTGTCCTTTCTGGAGTTACTACATGCCTTGCATTCATTAAGCCTGCTATCAACAACATCTCATTAATGACACTAGGTGTCCCCTGCACGGCTCTGCTTATTGCTGAGTTGAAGAGGTAGGTGTCTTTCTTCTGTATGTGAAGCAGCCTTTCTTGATGCTTGTTTTCTGAGGGTTTCATTCTAGATACTAATATACTTTTGGGCAGATCACCTTCCAAATGCATGACCCACATAAGGGCTAAGCAGAATCTGTCTGTGTACTCAAGGGACTCAACCCTCCCTGCTCTCCACCCCCACGCTGGCAGGCAGAGAACTGGGAAGCACCGGGCACGCTGTTATCAGTTCTTGCAATTTTATAGGAAGTCTCATAACCTTTAATGTTTTCACTTAAAGCCCTAACTCCTGGAACACTTGGTTGTGGGAATCTCAACTTTTTTTTTTTTTCTTTTTCATGGTTTTCTAGCCTTCATGGTTGCAGAGAAAAGCTCAAAAACCCAAACCCTAAAGACTCAAAAGCCAGAAGGCAAATAAAAAGACCCACCATTTATTGTTGTTTTATAATCTCATGACTTTTGGGGCAACTGCTTCTCTGGCCTGGTCTACACCATGAAACTTTGTCATGTTTGTTCAAGGTTGATATTGACAGTATTTGTGCTGACATGACCATGGTTTGTCCTGGTCTGCACTGACTGCTGAACATGTTCAGCATCTCATATCAGAACATTGTAGTTCATAGTGGTGAGGAGACATGATAACATTACTTAGCGCAGACCAGGCCTCTGAGGCAGGGTGCTGCTCCTACAGCCAGGCAGCTGTGCAATGCCCCCAATGCAGGGCTGGGCCTACGAGGCACAATCTAGCTGTTGGTCTTTTTGTTGCTGCTGCACTTTTATACCAGCAATGGTGTGAACTCACTCCGCTCCACCCCAGCTGTTTGGACTCTCTCACACTGCATGTATTTCCAATGATTAATTAGGTCATTACACATATACCTAAATATGTAGGGCCTGATACTCAGCTGGTGTAAACTGGATTACCTGCATTGAAGTCAGTGGAGCTGCACTGATTTACACCAAAGGAGAATTTGGCCCAGTATATGCAACAAGTTCAAGTTAATGTTGGACACAGTGGATTTGATTTAAATCAGATTGATTTAAATCACTAGTCAGGAAGACTCAATTTAATCATGGATTTCTACATAAAAGTGCATTCTTGTTGGTTGTTATAACCTTAATACATAGTAGATGTAGGTTTCATTTTTAGAAGGTACACACTATACATTTTTAAAGTGATTTATTTTGAAAACGCTTCAGATTACTTTTACAGCTATATCAGAAAATGAATGATTGTTTGGTTATTTCATTTACCAAAAGTAATTGAAGCAGATATTTATGAAGTCATTGGGAGGTGAACTATCTCCAGTTCAACAGGTTAATCGTTAATATTTGGAGGATTTTCTTGCCATGCTGTATTAGGAGGCGAACATCACCAGACAGACATTTAAATTGTTTTATTTAACTAAAACAACAACGTTATGTATTCTGAATTTTTTTCTTCAACAGCAAACATAATTTTTTAACAAAACAAGCATATGAATTTTTGAATTTAGTTAAACATTCAAGTTTTTTAAAATCAGGTTTGTTTTTGTTTTTAACTAAAATAGTTTAAATGAAATATTTAAAAAAACAAAAACAAAAATTAAATCAACTATGTCAGCCAGGTCAACATGAGAAACTGAAAATATTGGCTTCTGCAGCTAACTCAGTCGTCTTCACCTTCATTTTCCTGTTTGTTCATAATCTGGAAAAGAAAAACAAGCTTTCCTGCTTTTTCAGGTCCCAAACGATTTCTCAAATTGGAATGAATTAGTCCAGAGGAAGAAGATATTCTTTCTACACCAGCAGAAGAAGCTACTGCTGTTAAAAGTGAGATTATCACTTCAACAGTCTCTGAATCCAAGTGCTTAAGTGACTTCCACCAGTTCACTGGTGTGACTTTCTTTAACACATCATCAGCAAACATATATTTCTTGAATGGTTCACCCTTAGCTCTGAAGTTTATTATAGTTGGCATTATGGAGGGATGATTGCTGGATGTCCATGTCATAGCCAACTCCTCTTCTTCAGTAGTTAAGGTTTGACCCTGGTACCGAGTATTGAGAATATGAGCTGGAGATGAGCTGGAGTGCTTGTCCCATTTGTTTTTTTAATGCTTGGAATTCAACTCTCATTGCATATTTCTCTTTTTAAGATCTCACTCAGTTCCTTCCAAATTTCAACAGCATCAGCAATAAAATAGCTATTTCCCTGCATTTTGTTCAAGGCTACAGAAATAGGCTTCAGGGTACTCAGCATGCGTTCAGCATTTCTCTTAAGCCCAATGTTGAGAACTTTGGCTGTGTCAGTGCCATCTATTTTTTTTTATGATTTTGTTCGCAAACTGTCATCAGATTAGGCCAGTTCTTGATATAGTCCTCAATACACTCCACTACTGATTTCCATTGCACGTCTTGTGGGAGAGTTAGCTTGGTTCCTCCCACTTTTTTCAGAGCAGCTGCTGCAAAGTGGTTGTTACAGAAGTATTTTGCAATTTCAACAACAGCCTTTATTTCTGGAACACTGAAGTGTTTGGCAAGGAAGTGCATCAAATGAGCACTGCTACCGTATGTTATTAGCTTGGGACTCTCTTCTAAATAATTTCTTCTCATCTTGGATACATTTGCAGCATTGTCTGTGACCAAGCTGCGTACTAGACATTTGAATTTTTTTTCACAGTTTGTTATAGCTTTTACTGCTACTTCTTGTAAGTATTCTGCTGTGTGTGCATTTCCTGATGTATCAATTGTTTCTGTAAGGAAGACATTCCCTTCTTCTGTTGTCACACAAGCACATACAACAGGATCATTGTGGACATTGCGCCACCCATCAAGACTCAGGTTAACAATTTCACCCTCTAGACCTTTTGCACACTGCTCAATTTCTCTTTCATACACTTTATCCAGCAATTTGCCTGTGACATCTGCTCTGGTGCGTGGACTGTATCCTGGTCTTAATGACTGAACCATGTTAATGAAGGGTAGGTTCTCAATCATACAGAAAGGAGAGTTTGTTGCATAAACAAACCGGGCAATTTTTTCATCAATTACCTCTTTTTGTAATCTGCTGGTTCTTATCACAAACTTATCTATGGTTGTTTCTGGATGATGGAGATTTTTTGTTTTGTGTTTGCTAGAGATGATATACTTTGGCTATGTGACATACATGATGTGACTGAAACACTGTCATTGGCAGATAACTCTGAAACTATAGAAAATGATGGTGATCTTGAAGGTGGATAATCTTCAGAATCCTGTATGTTGAGGAGACTCCATCCTAAACAAAATAAGTCAATGCAGTTATTTAATTATTATGACCATACTGCTCATTTATTATCACTCATTGCATTTACTGACACTCAGTACTACTTTAAAGGTGAAATTGTAAAAGGAAGATCTGCCTATTTCAGCTATTTATTTTTTATCACAACTGCATCTAAAATGATAGAACGATAGAGTAACAACTATATTTTTTGCTCAAACATGAGAATTCAAGAATAGTCCAGAAGGAAGACAGGCAGTTCTTAAGAAAGAAGTATGAAATAAAAAAGTTTACCAAACTGAAGATCCTGCATGTTCAGACATGTTCCTTTCTTCACCTTCAACGCAGCTTCATCCTGAGAAGGAACACTTCTCATCATGTTGTTTCATTCGGGCAACCAGGCCTTGCATTTCTTTGTTGCACTGTTTGCATTTTGCACGCATGCCTGTCTTACCCACAGGTAGGGGAACTTCATTAAAATATTCCCAAACTGGGTCTCTTTTACGGCCTGCTGCCATTATAGGTTTTCCCTTCTAGTGAGAGAATGGTATGGTAGATCTCAAATCAATGAAGGCTACATTCAGAAAGACCTCAAGACTTCTGGAATATGCTGCTTAAACAGTTTCACTTTTGTTTCTACTGCTTGTCCCTCCCTTCTCACATTTATCTCCAGACTTTTTCTCCTTGTCCAGATCTATTCCGCCCCCAACAATCTTCTATTCATTGAACTTTTTGAAACTTTTCACTTTTAGAGGGAGATAAGGGATTGACTCTATGTACACAAATTTGCAGAGGGACAATAGGATTGAGGTCTGTTATTTCTCACCTCTGTATATTATTATATTATTTATTTATTTGAAAACATTTTTGCTGTTAACAGGCGTTATCTCTGGAGTCACAAATCCACAGTTTGAGAACTGCAAAACTAAGCATCTCTGATGGTATCTTCTAGACTGAGCACTGAGCCCCATTGGGTAGTTAGAAAGATTAACCTAAATAATCTATACAGAAGCCCCTGGAACCCCATAAGATTGGGTCCCTAATCCATGAACTATTGGAACTCATTTACAAAACTTTTCTTAAACATTGCATGAATATATTGTCTCATACTATAAAATTAGAATTTATAATCCCTATTCCATGATGAGATATCTTTGAGCTATAATGTATTTTAATTAAAACTATCTTTAGAGAGATTTTTTTCCTCAAAAAGCATTTTAACAAAAAAAATCCAATTAAAAAAAAATCATTGATTTTTATCCACCCTGCTCTTGGATCTGATTCTCCTCTGCTACCCTTATAAATCAGGAATAACTCCATTGAAGTCTGTGTAAAAGAAAGAAGAATCAAGCTTAACTTTAGTATTTCTTGACTCTTTTATATTTAAATATGCAATATTCATGGTGCATGAATAGGGTGGGTTTTTTCCATTCAATTTTATCAGACTACATAACAGCCTTTCCTAATTGTAATATTTTGGAAAGATATCATTAAATCCTTCCTGTTTTTAAAAAAAAAAAAAAAAAAAGAAGAAACAACCCAGCCATCTCTATGGTACGAGGAGTGTGGGAACTGAATAGTGCACTGCACAATAAAGGAGGAGATGGGGAAATTGACCAAGGAGGCTGGTGGAGTTGGCTAGAACTCTGATGAAAGTGCCACGGGATTTTTAATGTTCATAGAGAGCCATTTGGAGGGACATCCTGTGTGACTTTGGGCAAAACACTTAAACTATCTGTGCCTCAGTTTTCCATTTGGAA